ATAGTCAGGAGTCTAAAATGAAAATTTTCGAGTTTCATTTAGTCAATTTAGTTTTTTTTTTTTTTTTGTGTCTTTACACATCAATGTATCGTCACGAGCCGCAGGCTTTAATTTGGTTTTGTTTGTGTATGTTTTTTTTTAGCTTTATTATATGTTTTAGCCGTGATTCCCATCCACCTCCATTATAAGACTGACAGACTTGCAACGGTTTGTGTAAAAAATCTTTGTTTGTGTTCTACTGAAGAAACAAAGTCACCTACATCTTGGATGCCCGGGGGGTAAGCAGATAAACATCACATTTTCATTTGTGGGTGAACTATCCCTTTAATCTCTGGACAATTACAGCACCTACACATTATTTACTTTAAACAACACAAAAATGATCAAAATTAATTTAATAGAAAATATGTTCATCATAGAGGATTTGTGTTGTGTATCTTATTGTGTTGTGTCTGTTCTTGGTTACTAAAAATACATTATGCTAGAAAACAATTGTCACAACATTAAGCCACGAGCAACACTCTACAGATTGTAGATGCATAAATCCTGCTATTTGCAGACACAGTGGACACCTACCGTCCCCCGAGCTTTGGCAGGTCAACAGATCTGCCCATGATGAGGTACGACTTGCCTTCTACCAATCCTAAATATTCTCTGCAACCGGGACGAGCCAGGAATTGTCTCACATTTCCCTCAACATTATCATCGGTGCCTACAGGACAGAACAGCGTTTAGGAAACAATTCTACCGCAATGCAATTTAGCCTTCTGTAGAGGACCACTGACACTCCTAATTGAGATTGAAGATAGAGTGTCAATGCTCCATTTGAGAAATAGGTGGCGGTAATGCACTTATAAATCTGCGATCCATCGTAAAGCAAGAAGAAGAAGACGCCTCACGCACAGGCTGTGTCGAGGATGCGCTCAGTACAGTTCAGACATTGCAGTGAATCAGAGGTAAAAAACTATATAAATACTGTTCAGTTTCTTGCACAGACCAATCGTTTTGTGTCTTTACACATCAATGTATCGTCACGAGCCGCAGGCTTTAATTTGGTTTTGTTTGTGTATGTTTTTTTTTAGCTTTATTATATGTTTTAGCCGTGATTCCCATCCACCTCCATTATAAGACTGACAGACTTGCAACGGTTTGTGTAAAAAATCTTTGTTTGTGTTCTACTGAAGAAACAAAGTCACCTACATCTTGGATGCCCGGGGGGTAAGCAGATAAACATCACATTTTCATTTTTGGATGAACTATCCCTTTAATCTCTGGACAATTACAGCACCTACACATTATTTACTTTAAACAACACAAAAATGATCAAAATTAATTTAATAGAAAATATGTTCATCATAGAGGATTTGTGTTGTGTATCTTATTGTGTTGTGTCTGTTCTTGGTTACTAAAAATGCATTATGCTAGAAAACAATTGTCACAACATTAAGCCACGAGCAACACTCTACAGATTGTAGATGCATAAATCCTGCTATTTGCAGACACAGTGGACACCTACCGTCCCCCGAGCTTTGGCAGGTCAACAGATCTGCCCATGATGAGGTACGACTTGCCTTCTACCAATCCTAAATATTCTCTGCAACCGGGACGAGCCAGGAATTGTCTCACATTTCCCTCAACATTATCATCGGTGCCTACAGGACAGAACAGCGTTTAGGAAACAATTCTACCGCAATGCAATTTAGCCTTCTGTAGAGCATTAATGGAGAAGGACAACTGCATGTAACAGGAATCAGACACATTTCAAATTAACTTCATGATCAACGGAGAAACATGGAGGGAATAATGAACCGTACCTTCTTTCAGTACCTGCTCCACCTTCATGTCATAGATGTCAGAGTCCTGTTTCAGATCCATTCCCACCACTGTGGCTTTATAAACTGTCAAACACATTATATTGTTATCTCCGTAGAACCATAAGGCTCAGGCTAAACATTTTTTTTTTTGCATTAGTACAAGGGTTAAAGAAATAGTTCACCCAAACACGAAAATTGTCATCATTTACTCATTCATGTTGTTCCAAACCTGTATGACTTACTTTCTTCTAAAGCACAAAAACTAGATATTTCCCATAAAAAAAGACATTTAAAAACAAAATTCTCTTAATAAAGTTGTGTGATTTCACCTCATTTGCTTATCAATAAAATAATAAAAATGCATTGATACAAAAATCTTAATGATATGAAAGATTTGTAAATATTTTAAGTTTATTAGCTATAAATACGTAGCAATTTTACATTTTAAACATTGTAATGCATCCAAATTGTACATTTCAGCATCAATCAAAACATACAAAAATGTATGTTTTGTGCTTGTAAACATTATGTACTAATACCTAGACATAAAAAATGAGACCAGGCTGCTAATTCAGCTGCAGCGGTTCTTTAGTTAAAGGCAGGGCAAGTGATTTGGTTAGAAATTTTTTTTTGTTATATTGGTAGAAAGTCTTTTCACATCCCGATAGCAATCACTAAGTTAAAGGGTTAGTTCACCCAATAATGAAAATTCTGTCATTAATTACTCACCCTTGTGTTGTTCCAAACCCGTAAGACCTTCGTTCATCTTCGGAACACAATTTAAGATTGCAAAGAAAACAAAAATAACGACTTTATTCCACATTTTCGTCTCTAATGCGCCACTTGTAGATGCACGTTCACGACAGTACCATTACGCTGGATCTGGGTCAGCGTCGGTGCTGCCACACGCTCGTTATTTTTGTTTTCTTTGTGCAAAAAAGTATTCTCGTAGCTTCGTAACTTTACAGTTGAACCACTGATGTCACACGGACTACTTTGTCGATCATCTTGGTACTTTTCTGGACCTTGAACGTGGTAGTTACCTTGCTGTCCATGGGAGGGTCAGAGAGCCCTCATATTTCATCAAAAATATCTTAAATTGTGTTTTGAAGATTAACGAAGGTCTTATGGGTTTCGAACAACACAAGGGTGAGTAATTAATGACATAATTTTAATTCTTGGCTGAACTAACCCTTTAAGTTGTCTAAATGTATTTATATGCATTTATGTGAAAGGCGTAGGACCATAAAATGTTTGTCTAAGATAGGCTGCCCTACCTGCCGGTCAACGTATTTGAACCTCCGCGCACCCTGTTTGTGCAGACATGATACGTCATCAGCTCGTTCTGTTGCGCTATTGCAGACTGAGCGAGATTGGAAGGCTTCTTTATTTGTCATAGTATGTGCTTTGTACTGCAATGTTTTCTCATTGGTGAATGAGACATGAGGTAATCTGACAACCCTTCACCAACACTGTCTCTCATCGTGTTACTGGTTAGCCTCTGCTCTGCCTGTGCGCGTTCATGTGTTTTGGAGGAGGCGTGGCTTTGCAGAGTGATTATGCAGGGAGGGTGGGATCTTATGTTTTCAAAGCTAGCTTGCTATTGATAGCCTCTCCAAAATCGCCTACCCTACCCTTAACAGCTCATTGGAGAGGAAGATTTTCAGCGAATAACTTAAATGTGGGTCTTTTCCTCACATTTGGCTTCAGGAGAATTTGCACAAGTCAAATTAAATTGTCTACTTATGATGTGTTTGCCATTTTTTTAGAGCTTAATGTGGTCTATTAAAAGAGCGTCAGATTACATCACATTTGTTCTGGTGAACTGTTTTGTAAGCAACAGTGTCCTGAATTTTGTAATTTGTCTATGATTTATATTTTGTGGTTGTATATATGATTTTTGTTATTTTTTGGAAGTGCAAGCATTATACAATTGTTCACTGTGAAAAAAAAGCAGCATTAAAAAATTAGAGAGAATTATGAATCTTAATTCCTTGAAGTATGACAGTCATGAACTGAATGCCTTTACCATAATCCATGCCACCTTCACAGGCTTTATTTAAACGCTCCTCTTCTCTGGTTTTGTTTTTCCTCTGGAAAGTGCAGTTTTCTGTATTCAGACAAGTTAATGTCATACACACACGTAAACACTTGTAATCACACACACATTCCCCCCCATTCAAACAAGAATAGAAACAACTAAACTTTTTTTCCATGTAAAGAGGCCATTATCATGAAACAGGTTCTTCAATGCTCTTTTGAAGCAAGAGTTTGATGAACTACGCAGACATACTCAAACTTTAACAAAGCAAAGCAGTAATAAGAAGGAAGTACTGTGAATCCTAAAGAGAAAATTATTATTCCAGTTAGGGCTGGGTGATTTTTCCAATTTTATCGATTAATTAAAATTGAATGTTTTGCCACGATTTTATTTTTTATAAACCGAGGAATCACGATTTTGAATAGAAATATTCCCAAACGTTAGAATTAGACACTTTGACAATATGCCAATGATAACAGTAAAGAGAAAAGAATGATCCAACTGCATGTCAGCTCGTGTGATTAACCGCTCATGTGTGACGCGCTCTGTGAATGACCAGAAGTAGAATATATCACTAGGTGCCATTCACACAGAATGCGCTTTTTTGTGCTGACAAAGATGCGACGCCGGCAGTGAAATAGGAAAAAATGCAGGAATATGGAAGTTGAAGTTCTTTTAACTTGAGCGCCACGTTTTTAGAAAGCCGCTTCATGCATGAGACACTGCAATAGATGTGCGCGCAACAGTCAAACGTGTCCATGTTTACATAAAAACAATGGAAAAGCAGTGCAATCGAATAAAAACCTGTAAAGAACTACTAGTGTATGTCTGATATTCATGTTTGCATCATGGTGACAGGCTGAAAGCTGCTTTTCATTGTTTTTACAGAACATTTATAGTTAATAATAGTCTACCGAGGTTATACCTTCAGTCATTTTGAATTACCTTGACTTTTGAGATTTTTTTTAAAGCATTGTCCTTGTATTATTTCTGAACATATAGGCTAATATGTATAAGACATGTTTGTACAAGATGTAGTTGTAGTTCATCCATCTTTTTTTGCAAAGAAGTTTAACAAGCGATTTGTTTAACATGTATCATGTTGACAACTTCATGTGTGGTGCACTTGGAATATAATTTTATTTAACTAGAGGGTAAATAAAGAAAAAGTTACTTGAATGTTGTAGTTACATTTTCAAGTTGACTAGTTAAAAATCGTAAAAATCGAGAATCAGTCAAACATTCTGAAAAAAAATGTAGATAACATTTTTTGGCCATATCGCCCAGCCCTAATTCCAGCTGGTATCTAGATGTGATGATTTAAATAAAATACAGTAACAGTACAAGAGATGGTCTCTTTACACTATTATTAGTTATGATACCTTCTGCACACTGGCACAGGTCTCCTTTACACAGTCTGTATATCGCACCATCTGTCCTTTCAGGATGGTAGAACTTTGTACAGCGTGCATCTGAAAAAAAGGAGGGAGGTCAACTGATTAAAAATGCTACTGTAAATTATTTCATGATATGCAAGTGAATTAATCTCAACAAAAATCACATTACAATATCTGTTGAGAAAAGCCCACAAATAAAGACAATTTGAAGACATGTTTTCTGGCAAATGAGTCAATCATTGAATGAACATTAAAAGAGTGTCTTTGTGAAGGACTAGGAACAAAAAAATACCCAACAAACTTTAATGAATCGATTCCAAGAAAGAAGAACTAAAAGTTATCCTCAAAACAGTATCAACATTTGGCTATTAATTAGCTTTTTTTAATACATTTATACTTCCACAAAAGTAATCGTTAATAGCAATTCATACAGGAATTATTAATTTCCTCATGATTCCCTTCCCTAGTTACCTGTAGCAGCAACTGCTGTGTTGATGGTACAGAGATCACTTATTACGTAACATGTGTGCATGAATAAATGTGTTGATTTTTCAAAGCATGAATTTTAATCATTAATAGCACTAAATAAACATGTTAATTTAAGAACTTAAATAGCTCACCTGGTGAGTAATATTCATATATTGTGACTGCTGCAGGTTGTAGTTGACCCACATTATGCATCTGGTGCATTCTGAAAACAATTCTTTCTGTCTCTCTGTGAGAAACCTATTGAGACAGAACTCAAAGTAATTTTATTATATGATATTACTTATCATATTGCACACTAAAAACTACCGACATTAACATTTGCACAAATAATAAGTGACAAATAATAACAAATACAGTAAAAATACAATTTAAAACAATTTTTGTTGGAAAAAAAATTATATTTGCATATGATTTGTGATTGTCTGTCTTGTTTGCATTTCTTTAACAACCTGTATCTGGATTTATACTGCAACAACAGTGTTCTCTTTTGCACAGCTGAAAGTCGTAGGCTAGATCTATATATTACATTTGCATTTTATTCTTTCCTCTTTAAAATGTCATGTGAAATATGATTCTGATATGCAGTCTGCAATGCACACAAAAAGTGAATATGCAATGATATATTGACATATGGAAGCACATGGTGTTTGCATTTGTTCTCCATCATAGATGTGTAGCGGTGTCAATCCATCATTTCTGTGTGTGTTATTCATTGTAGCTGATTTTTATTTGACAATTAATGTAAGGGAGAGCCACTCGTGTCATCTTACTTTTTTCATTTCTTATGAGAGGGTTTTGTGGGTTTGGAGGGGGGGGTTTCTGCATTGCAACTGACAATTCTGACAAATTATATAACAAAATCGATATTTTTATAGTATTTCATTGACTTCTGTGGGTGATTTTTCCCCATTTATTTCAATGTGGGGTCTCCAGAGTTTTTTGTTCACATTAACATACAACCAGATATCATTCCAATGTATTTTTGTGTTTGTAGAGCTAGCAAGTGTTAAAAAAATCCCAAATAACTTATACTGTGATAGTAAGTAAAACACATGGTTTCCAGATCATATCATATCATATCATATATAAAATAAAACGTTTTTACATGATCAGGCACCACAGTTTGCTGACATACAGTACCTTATCTAAGTAGAGGATGAGGGATCCTCGCTCTGAAAGAACTTTATTATTTTCATATTTCTGAATGTATCTCTCCTTCCCTGAAGACAACTGAGGACAAGAACATAAGAAAACAAAAATCTCAATACATGACATGATCAAAATGCTTTATGTCCTGTCAGCAGATGAGTGTTAGATTCCTCTTCTATATACAGAAACATAACTGCATCAGTTTATCATCACAATACCTCTTTAAGATCACTTTCTTCAACTTCAAATCCAGTCGGTAAGCCAATGTCCAGAATAGTCATGGTGGCATCAGTTTTATCATCTTTGTAGCTGTGAAGATGGAGAGCAAGAGCAGATTTTAATAACTGGTTTTGTAGTTTTGCTCCATCTTCTGTGTGTTTAAAGCTGTTTTCACACTAGAGCTTTTGGTTTGAACCCGAGTCTGTTTGACCTCAGAATTATTATATTGTAGTAACGCAGAGCTGCTCGTCTCTGAATAAACTCTTTTTAAAGTGAGTTGCATCTGCATCAGAACACACTGAAAAGTAAGTCTCTTTTGGAGTCATTATGTAGTCACATGGTAACCAGCACTCATGATCAAGACACAAACATACAAACATAGTGAGAAAGGAAAACTCAGGCTATGACCAAAAAAAAAATAAAAAATTAAATGAGCACATGATGAAATTCAAATAAAATGGTTTCTTGACATAATAATAAACTTATTAGGATATTGGTTCACATACTAGAAATCCATAGTGAGCTTGTAACTTGCAACAGCTCCTTGTTTAGCAAAAAAAAACAAAAACAAACATGGTGGTAATTAAAATCAAAAAGCAGCACATAATGAAGTGTTTTGGAGGTTTTATTTTAGCTCTGAATTTATGGAAAGTGCCACAGAAAGAGCATGAACGTAGTCTTACCTTCATTGTCTTTCTCCATTTTAACAGTCAGATCAAAGAAAGTACAGTCAGATTTCTTCTCAACAGGTCTGGCGTAGTACAGCGTCAGAACCTGAAAACAGCAGCACGTCTCAGATTAGATGCTCACACGCTTTAATCTTGCTGTTGACTGTATAAACGCTCATGAACACTCACTGAGAGAGTGGCTGTTCCAGTTCCTTTAGCAGTTACATTGAACTCCTGGTTTATGTCCACCTGTTGAGTGAATGCAGACATACTCGAGTCATCAGAATCAAATCCATGATATAACAGAGATACCTGAAGATTTCACTGACCAAACACGAGACTATTGATGTAGGCAATTAAAAATGATGGATGATGAACAACAAAACTCCCATTATCCAACAAAAACTTTCAACTAACATCAGCTGCAAACAGTTTGAATCTAGAAGATGAGTTACTCCTCACCTTGTCTGACCGAGTAAGATGCATATTATCTCTTTTAAAAGCCCATCTGACAGGTTTGCTTCTTCCTGCCACGGACAGCTCCACGTTCAGATTGAAGTTTTGCCGGTCCTTCACCTGCGTGCGATACTCTGCCACGGCCTGGAACACCATGATGGTCGCCTAGAAAAGACAGAAAAGCATTCAAATCCTGTCCTGCAGTGTCAGTCCTG